AGATTATTCAATTACAGTAATTCTTCAGCAATCGATTGATTGATTATACGTATGTTGTTTAACGTCCCTCTCCAGAATTTTTCACTCACATGGAGACGACACCACTCTGCGGTGGAGACTGCAAATTTTTGTCCTATACTTTGGCACTTATCGCAATTGAGCAGAGGGGAATCTTTTTTATGCCAGCACCTTCTGCGACAAGGGACCTCGATTTATACGATCTCATCCAAAGGACCGGTCTCCACGTCCCACAATCGAAGTTCATAATACCGAGATATTTTATTTTTTATTTTATTCTATTTTTTCACAAGTTTGTTGCATCAGATTTACTTAAAGATCATACTTCAAGATCATTTCAAACTCAGGCTACTTAATTGCAGTGCATACAGCGTCAAGTGATTTTGATTGACAGGTCAACACAGGTGCACTTCGTGTGATACTTTTTAAGCTGAAAAATATACAGAATGTGACCATGACTATGAAATCAGAAAACATTTAATAAAGAATGGGTGTGACCGATATAGAACTAATTTTTGGTCTATGTAAATGGATAGGAGGATCGGGATTAAGAGGGAATCTCTCTCTCTCCTCTCTCTCTCTCTCTCAGACGTAAATTGAACATTTCATAATGACAAATCTACCATTATAGAATATGAAATTCTGTATACATGTAAATGGTAATTATATTCACATGTTCCAGATTTAAATCTAAACCGAATATATAATTCAAATGCCTAGCTGCACGAACGTCTCCAAATATTAATCAAGGCGGGGAGGGGGGGGGAGGGGGGAGGGGGAGGAGGCTTCAAAGGAATTAGATAGTTTTATGTTTTATGAATTATAAGGAAAAATACGGAAGTCAGTTGCATGTACATAATTATATATCACTGCATAAAATTGTGTTCATTCAGGTATACTTATCCCACATATCAAGAGACCTGTGCAATTTTTTTATCATGGTTTTTTTTTCAAAAGAAACATATAGCGTACCATTATTTCACACAGAATCGCGTTTTCACATATTTTTTTTTAACTCTTTGAGTATTTCACAAGAATCCAAGAATCGTCTTTTCACATCTTTTATAATTTCTTGGGTATATAGAGTATAGATCATGTGTCATAAATAATTTAACTTTTTATCAAATATACATGTAATAACCAAATCTAATCTATAAATTGATTTTCTTTCTTTTAAGTGGCAGATATCAATTTATTTATAAAGGCTTTAAAACAGTACTGTATTACAATTTTCTATCGCTCAATTCCTTTTTGAGTGTATGTAATATTTTTTAATATCGAAATTAAAACTCGGAAATCGGGATAATTTCGCATTCAAATCATAGAGAATAATAAATCGTCTACATTATAGAAGGCTTATAACTATCGTATTCTGAACTTACTATACGAGATAGATAAAATTGCATGCCTGTCCATCACTATAAATGTATATTCAGTGCTTATAATATATTTACTTGAATTAGCTACCTAGCACATATATTAATTTTTTTAGATATATTCATGTGTAAATCAATTAACTGTCAATACAGACTTACACTGCACTGGCAACTTCAAACTTTACATGCACTGGAAGCGGTAACCAACGTACTCTTAAATTTTGAAGAGTGAATATAGAACGTCTAAATATTTTGATATGGAGAGTGTATATGTCTCTGACGTCATCGATACTATTTCCGCCTTTATCTCGAAAGTTCTATTCTCACTTACAAGTCAGAGTTATCTTTCTTTGCCCATTGTCTACACACTAGGTAAATAGGGAAAATGAGGGTACCGAAAATCTACAAAATGTGGAATCTGATTTCAAAACAAATTATATATTTAGTATTTGTAGAATAACCTCTGTTATACATAATAATATCTTGAAAAAATATTAAAAAACAAAAAAGTTGAAAATTGACCAAACACAAGTTCACTTCCGGTTCGGACAGGAAGTACCGGAAACGCACGAAAACAACTTCGAAACAAAGAGAATGTCATGATCTAATACCCCTGTAAATTTCACATCTTTATCTCAAACCGTTTCCGAGAAAAATTCCGGACAAAAGTCCATTTAAAAATTGGAAATTCGGCCATAACTTCGGACCGGAAGTGAATTTTTCAAAAAACGGAATTTTATATAAACTTCATATATCAGCCTACTATCATGTGAAAAATCGTGAAAATCTATCCAACCATCTCTGAGTAATCGCGCTCACAAAATTTGGGAGGAATAATAATAATAATAATAATAATAATAAAAAGAAACAATACAATCACTATAAGTCTTCCGTTGTGAACGGAAGACTTAAAAAGAAACAATACAATCACTATAAGTCTTCCGTTGTGAACGGAAGACTTAATAATAAAAAGAAACAATACAATCACTATAGGTCTTCCGTTGTGAACGGAAGACCTAATAATAAGAAACAGAGTAAAAACAATATGTTCCCAAACTCCGTTTGGGGAACATAATAAGAAACAGTAGAATCACTATAAGGTCTTCCGTGAAGACAGAAGACCTTAACAAATTTAAAAAATTAATCTAGAGGCCCATGGGCCACAACACTTACCTGAGTCAATATTGTCCTGGTGCAACTACCTGAGGATGCTTCCTTGTCAATATGTCCAATTATGGCTTTGCTGTTCTCGAGTAGTTTTTTTTAAATATATACTCCTATGTAAAACTTTGACCCCCCCCCCCCCATTGTTGCCCCGTCCTACCCCAGGGTGTCATGATTTGGAAAAATTGAGTCTACATTACCTGAGGATGCTTCTATCAATATGACTAATCATGGTTTTGCTATTCTTTATCATCAGATTTTTAAAGATTTTAAAGATAAAAGTTTGATTCCATTGTGGCCACGCACTACCCCAGGGGGTCATGATTTGAACAAACTTGAATCTACACTACCTGAGGATGCTTCCATATCAATAATCATGGCATTGCTGTTCTTTAGAAGATTTTCAAAGATTTTTAGCTCACCTGAGCCAAAGGCTCAAGTGAGCTTTTTTGATCAAAATTTGTTCGTTGTCTGTTGTTTTTGTAAACTTTTCACATTTTCATCTTCTTCTCCAGAACTACTGGGCCAATTTCAACCAAACTTGGCACAGAGTATCCTTGGGGGAGGGGATTCAAGTTTGTTCGATTGAAGGGCCACACCTTCTTCCAAGGGGAGATAAATAGGAAATAGCGAAAAATTATTGGCATCATTGAAAAATCTTCTTCTCAAGAACCAATGGGCCAGGAAAGACGAAACTCATGTGGAATCATGGTCAGGTAGTGTAGATTCAAATTTGTACAAATCATGACCCCCGGGGGTAGGGTGGGGCCACAGTGGACGATCAAAGTTTAACATAGGAATATATAGGAAAAATCTTGAAAAAGCTTCTCAAGAACAGCAAAGCTATGATTGGTCATATTTATATGGAGGCATCCTCAGATGGTGTAGATTCAAATTTGTTCAAATCATGACCCCGGGGGGTAGGGTAGGACCACAATGGACAATCAAAGTTTTACATAAGAGTATATTAGAAAAATTTCAAAAAATCTTCCACAACGGACGATCAAAGTTTAACACAGGAGAGTTTAGGAAAAATCTTAAAAATTCTTCTTCTCAAGAAAAGCAAAGTCATAATTGGTCATTTTTATGTGAAAGCATCCTCAGGTGGTGTATATTAAATTTTGTTCAAATCATGACTGCCAGGGGTAGGGTGGGGCCACAATTGACGATCAAAGTTTTACATAGGAATACATAGGAAAAACATTTAAAAATTCTTCTTCTCAAGAACAGCAAAGCCATGATTGGTCATATTTATGTGAAAGCATCCTCAGGTGGTATAGATTCAAGTTTGTTCAAATCATGACCCCTGGGGGTAGGGTGGAGCCACCATTGACGATCAAAGTTTAACATAGGAGTATATAGGAAAAAGCTTTTCAATACTAAACTGATTTTTGCTTTTTTCCTAGCCAAAGTGCTCAGGTGAGCGATGTGGCCCCAGGGGCTCTTGTTTCTTATATATTCCTGTGTAAAACTTGATCCCCCATTGTGGCCCTACCCAACCTCCGGGGATTATGATTTAAAGAAACTGAATCTACACTATCTAAAAAAGTTTGAACAAAATTGAATCCTCTTCATCCAAGGATGCTTTGTGGCAAGTTTGGTTGAAATTGGCCCAGTGGTGGTGCAGAACAAGTCAAATATGTGAAAAGTTTACACAGATGGATGACAGACAAAATCTGATCAGAAAAGCTCACTTGAGCTTTCAGTTAAGGTGAGCTAAAAAAAAGAACAACAACAGGGCTATGATTAGTAATATTGATATGCAAGCTACTCAGGTAGTGTAGGTTCAATTTTTTTTAAATCAATGGCCCCTGGGGGTAGATGAAGCCACAACAGGAGATCAAATTTTAACTTGGAAATATATATGAAAAATCTTTATAAAAATTCACTGATAATGAACAGCAAAGCCATTATTAGTCATATTCATTTGCACGCATCCTCAGGTAGTGTAGATTCAAGTTTGTACAGATCAGGGCCCCAGGAATAGGTAATAGGTTGAAGCTATAATATGAGTACAGAGTTTTACAAGGGAGTATGTAGGAAGAAGTAGCAAGACCACACGTAATCATATAAGATGTAATAAACAAAACATTCCTAAGTTGTGTGGACTTGAGTTTTTTTTTTTTTTTTTAATTATGATCAAACCCCGAGGTTTTAGATCCAAATTCTACAAAATGCATGTGTACAAGAAAAATCTTTTCCAGAATGACAGGGTCGCATTAGTCATATTGATATTAAAGCATCCCAGTGTTATGTAGATTCAACTTTGATTAAATCATAGCCCCCTTAAGGGCTAAGTTTTAATCCACAATATCGAGTCAAAATTTTTATAAAATTGAAAAGTTTTTTTTTTTCCAAAAAATCTTATGATGAAGAACAAGGCCAAAATAACTCAGGTGAGCATTGTGGACCCTGGGCCTCTTGTTTAACTTGCAAATAATTAAGGTTGTCTCATTTATTCATATTTTTATGCTGCACAATATTCTCAGATAAATAGTTCACACATTTTAATGTAGTAATAATCTGACAGTAGATTCTACCATGAAAAAAAAATCACATCAATTTTAATGCACCAATTATACTTAGATAAAATTCGACACAATTATGCATTTTTGCACTGAATTACATTTTTTTCCTTACTCATACATGCTTTCAGGCAAACAAAGACATGAAAGAGGAATGACTGCTGCCTGATTAACACCACAATTCCTCTAATCACAGATGCTAATGGTTCTATGGCCTTGCCCATTTTTATTGACTGTGTCAAATGCTTCTTCTGCATTTCTAGTTAATATGTGTAATTCAAATACAGAAACTAATATTTAAATATGCTATAATTCAAATACAGAAACTAGTCAGTTTCGTAAAGTATGCTTGCAATGAAGACCTTGATATGTAACAAAAAAATAACTCTGGTATCAAGCTTTAGTCCATCTTAGTGTTAATTGTAATGGAGGGTAGACTAGAAATAATTGATCACTAACATTAATAAACAGTTACATGTACATGACAGATAAAATGCAAAGATATTTTAAATCATAAGTTTCAGACCCTATTTAATACTTAAATTTAATGATTAAATCTTTAAATATTGTAGACTGTTTCAGACTTGAAGGCTTTCGTTTTTTTGCTAAGACTGACTGGATTATGAGAAGAATCGTGAGAACCAGCCATATTTCTTTGACCTAATGTCTTCCTGTTTGTACTGTTTTTGTGATTCTAGGAACTCGTCTCGGTCCATGCCCTCATTAAGTGCTACTTCATTTGCTCTCACAATGACAGAAAAAGGCTGACGTGGAAGATTCTTAATGGCTGCCTCCAGTGGTAAAACTGACAGTTTTTCTTTGTGTTCTCTTAGAATTCCTAGGTTTTTCATGAGATGCACAGCTTCTGAGCAGTCAAATTCAACTCTGACCCCAGTCACCTTGGCAACCCAGTCTTCTGCCCATTTGTTTATCACATCTTCTGTTGCCCCACCTGTAATATAAAATTGCATCTCAATTTTAAATTTGTAGGAATGACTTCACATTCATATAAACCTTCTGCAAAAATTCCACTTGACAGCTTTTGCATCAATTAATATACAAATATTTTACTTTTAAATAAAATTTGTCTTCTATTATTCATTTAAATTTTGCAATATGAAATACACTGTAGTGGCAAAGACTTAGCTTTCTATAGGATATTTGGTCTAGTGTCTTACCTAGTTCAGCAATCACCATCTGGTAATAGCCTGTGTCCTCCTGCCTGGCACCTGGGGGTCTATGGGACAGAATACACATGTACACAATAAGAGCCTCCTTAAATGTCTCGTCCTGGGCACGGTCTACCATTAAAGCTAAAAATCCTCGATTGTTGGCTACAGTCTTAAAATATGATATCCTATGCAAGTCTTCTAAGTACTTCATACTTTTGTTGGTGTAATTAGATAATGCTACAGTGCCTAAGAGAAGTGAAGCAAGCACAGTAGGAACTGCTAGGTTCATAAAATATAATTTACTGTAAGCTGAAAATAACATGGCCTCCCCTACAATTGTACAAAGTCCAACAGCTGTGGAACTAGCTAGCAGAAGCTTGTCTGTGTGTGTCATGCTTGTCCGTCCTGTTGGTAGTAGCATCTCCAGTGATTTGGCTGGGATCTCCTTGAAACATTTGAGCATGATTTTTGGGTCCCCTTTGAGCCGGCAAATGACTACCACTCGTTTGAGATACTCTGGTTTGGGAATCTTTGTGTCTGTTTTCTTGGAGAACAAAGACTTGTACCATGGAATGCTGGAAGGCTTTATTTCTTTCCCAAGGATCCACATGCTTAAGATATTGTACTCATTTCTGTCTACTTTTACCTGTAAAATTTACAAATCACAAAATCTGTTTCTTTTTTGAAAATACCATTGTATTTCTCATTTCCTTTTGAAACATACTATATGTACATTTAACTCAATTCAAATGCTGTTTACAAGTGTGTAATGTAGTAAGAGTATGACAATTTTTTTATGACAAAGAGCTTCTGAGTGTAAGATTAAGATGAACATACCCTTATGCCTTGTGTTGTATGAGGTTTGAGGGCTTTATTAACTGTATCATCTGAGAGTCTGTAAAAATTGGCCTTTTCCATTACATCTTCAAGCTTCTGTAGGAGCCAGAATTCATTGTCTAACCTCTCTGTACGTGTGAACCTTTGTGAAGGTAATGTGTCTTTATCTGGATTAACTGGGTCAAACAAGGTCTGAAAAAATTAAAATATACAAAATAGTGATTAATAATTATTGACTAATTACAACAGTTCATGTGTGCACCTAAGAAAGGTAAACAAATGAACAAACAGAAACTTGAACCTGGAAATCTAATGAATTTTGTGGGCCGCAGTGTTTACCAAATGAACTAGTGCAACAATACAATAAAACATGCAATTTGTAAAAACATAGTTTGTTATTAATGTTATATCTGTTAAGTTCATAATATGTTTTAAACTATATGGAATGAAATTCACCGTGCTGTAAGCACAAATTCGTTATAAGCATACTGGGTGTAATTGTGTTTTACTGTATACTCGGTGAAACAGCATTAAAATGTTATATTTGTAAAATACTGCCACAAAGAAGTAACTACAGCAGGACGTATCCATGTTTGATAGGTAATCATGTGGGATTTATAATTAAATAATTGCTACCTTGAGTTCATTTAGGACACCGTGATACTCCTGTACAATGGCTGAGTCCAAAGCAGTGGCAAACTCATCAAATTTCCTCTGTTCCTGGACTGTCAGCAATTTCTTTTCCTCAATGACTCTCCGTATTAATGTTCTTCTGGTGATGGGAATATACTTCTCTCTGTAAACAAATTAATGTCATATCTTTAAATTCATGTTAACTCAGTCAACCATAAAAACAAAACTACATTTAGCCATTGATTTATGGGGAGGGGGTTGTAAAGTACAAGTAATATGTACATATAAGTCCTTTCAATGACACAGAACTTTTTGCAACCAAATACTAAGTTTTACAGTTCTTTCTTTATATATAACATAAAACAAAATGTATTGCGAAAACAGGCCAAAAATTTCAACAGTCAGTATTTCTATGTATCACAATTACATTGCAGTATCTTGGGATGGTGTTAATTAATTAATGAACTAACTACAGCCTCACAACATGAATCCTGCTAACTAAGTTCACAATCAGTCCTGTCTATTGTAGTGATTATAAACTGCACCTGTACAGGTCAATCTCATCGGGTTCCTCCTCCACTTTTGTGACAGCTGCCACCTTCTTCTCTGTTTTCCCTTCAGCTGACTCAGGTGTTTTTTTCGTCTGACTGTTTGTTGTCATGGAAACATATTGGGGGTTTGACAGCACACTGATGAAAGGTACATTGTCTGAAACAGCCTGATTTTAATAGGCAGAAAAAAAAAAAGAAAAACTATACTTTCATATTTAAGCAACATTGGGATTATACTGTATACAGTAAAACACGCTTATAATGAATTGATGCTTACAGCGAATTTATTTTCATTCCCCCTGGCTTTAAAAAATGTTATATTATAAACTAAACGAATTTAACAAAATACGTTTATGACCAATATCATCCGTCCCTGGGACTTTGTTACAAACATGTTTTACTGTACATGGAAATTTTTTTCTCCCATTTCGTTTTTGTCCTTTTCATCCCTACTTGCAAGTAGATGAATTTAAGATGGGGTAATTCAAAGAAGACAGCATTATCCCTTTAATGCAACTGTATGTAGGTGAATTTAAAATGGGGCAAAAACTTTTGCAAATGTGAAAGGGTGAAAATAAAATGGGGCTAAAATAACCTTTTATACGGTACTATACCGGTACTTTCAATTCTGGCAGTGGACCAATTCAAACCACTGAATGGATATTAATTATATGGTAGAGAGAATGTGCAACTATCATTTTTGTAAAATTAATGCAGTTCAGATTTTAACCAAATAAATATTTGAATGCAGACACATTTTTTTCTTCTATGCAAAAAAGTTTGATGATTGTGATAATTACAAAATAGAAAAACCTCAAAACTTACAAGAAAACTATAGATAAAATCAATTGAAATACAGTTTTGTTGACCTTGTCAATATTAGCTATATATGCTGATGTGATCATAAAGAAAAAATAACACGATTTACAGAAATATTTGGTAAAGAATATGACTTCAAGTAATCTGAAAGTGTGGCTGTCCCGCAAAATTTCATAAAATTTAATTTATTGTCAGTTGCCGTGAGGTCATTCAAGATCTTTCAATAATAAATTATGAAATTTTTGTCTACTTTAAATGTATGGTACTCATTTCAGTGGTATAAGGCCAAATTTTTTTATTAGTTTTATTAGTGCTAATTTATGTTTGTGCTAATCAGTAATCAGTTTAAGAGGACGATAGAACTGAATTCTGAATATGCTATTTCATGTAATGCTTAGGTCTACAGTATCAATATACTAGTATTCATGTATAAATTAGGGAGTAAGTGTCTTCTCATTTGTTATTTGTTTTATCTGAGATTTTCCAGGCTTTCTTCAAAATTTTGATATTTGATGTGCCAGGTAAACATTAGAACTGGTGCCATTGATGATTCCGAAAGCTAGAAATTTTAACATGTCCAACCAGAGGTGACATTCTCAGGTCTAATTTGGACACTTGCAAACCTAATTAAACATCAAACTCACAATTAATCAATAGCATTATGCTTCTAGTACTAACCAATATTGTTTTTATGGTTCAAATATAATATGAGTCTGGTGAAAACATTTTATTGACTGTCAAGGTTTGTTCTGATTTTGTGCAACTTAAAATCTCACGACATCTCATGATCTGTATTGCCAAACCCCCGAACTTTGTCACTACCCTAACTCTGTCACTTCTGTGAAACTCCATGCTGTTTGTAAACAAATGCGATTGTGACGTCATTTTTTGCATGCTGAAAATCTATAATCAAATGCCAAGATATTATAACAGTCAAGTTCAAGAATGTGTCAAAAACAAATAACAATTACACTTAAAGATCTATTGTATCTATCATATTTTATGTGAAATCGGTAAGCACCTTTTCCTTCATGTGCTATTCCATCGATATCTCCGACGTGTGTAAACATGCTCATTTTCACATGTCAGCCATTTTTATGAAGGTCTATGTCAAAGGTTTTATATGACATACCATGTTGAATACGACTAAAAATATTTTATTTTTTGCCTACATTTGCCCTAATGCACAACATGTTGGAGATAACATTTGTGCGACATTATTACATATAAAATATGTTATATTAAAATTTTTGTTTTCTGTTGTTGATACTTTTCTCAAAATACAATTTAATATATCTTAAATATTGAAAACTATTTTTTATGATAACAAATTCAAGAAAAAGGGACAAAAAAATTAACTGGGGAAAATTTTTTATTTAAGGAGATGGGCGAACATAGCGTGCAGAAAGCCTATAGCTTCAGAAATATAGAAATCATGTTCAGTTTGTGAATTTAATATTTAGAGTAAAGTTCTCATTATTGAAGTTTATGAAATTGCGATAAACAAAACTTTTCTGAGGAAAATTTTCTCGGCAAAATTTATTCTTTTATCAAAAAAATTAATGTGGTATTCGTGGGGTTCGAACCCTAGCAATAAAAATCCTAAGTAACATTTTCTTTCGAGACTAGCACGCTAACCACTAGACTACACAAGTCCTGACGAACAGTGGCATTTAAATCATGTTTGTGATATGACCCTTGACTTAATGGACTTCAAGTATTTCTCGAAAAGATGCGAATGTTATGTCATAAAAGTATATTTTTAAGGTATAGTGGGTCATTGCTCCATATTTTTGGTAACCAAAAAATGTATATTTTTATGCAAACTTTGAGGATTAACTTTCAAAAAGGTGGAGCGAAGACCCACTCATATCAAAAAATAGTGTTATAGTATGAGAAAATGACTCTTTTTGCCCGCTTTAGTGTGTGTCTAATATTTCGCAGGCAAATAATTTCAATCTTTGAGGGATTTTTGCAAATTGTAGAGATTTTACATAAAGTATATTTTGATGTTAGACGAAATATCAAGGAAAATTTTGATATAATTGAAATTTAATTTTTCATCTTGATGTTTGTCACACTATAGGCTTATCGCTCGTCATGTTCACCCATCTCCTTTGCTGGCATATTGTAGAGGGCCCTGGCGACAGAGTTAGGGTTCATTGGACGTTTCATACATGGAGCTGATACACATACTATTTAGTGGTGTTATATGAGCCCAATAACTGCACTTTTTTGTAACTAGTACTAAACAATGTTTATATACCTTACTAAGTGTAGCAAACAAGAAACAAATCAAAAAATAATTCAGAAAATAACATGCAGTGTTTTCCGCTTATGGTGATGGAGTTTGGGTACTCAGGGATATTTAAATGTGGAGTAATATTTTCTTCTAAGCAATATTGGTAAGTATTAGAAGCATTTTCGAGGCGAAATTTCTGTTTTCATTATGGCACTGGTTCTGAAATTTAACTTGCACATCAAATATCAAAATTGTGAAAAAGGCCTATGAAACTTCAGATATTTTGGATTAACTAACTTAATTGTAGTTCCATATAGATTCCTACTTTCATGAATGAAAACTTGATCAACGTTCAAGAACAACTTTACCCTGAGACAGTGAACAATTCTCTTTTGTCTGTATTGAACCAGATAAGCACAGTGGATAAAATATTGTTTAAATTCAAATTAATAAACATAATGAACTCCTACAATATTCTTGAAGGGCAAAGATTGACATCTCAACTTTCACATTCATTTTGCAAATGTTAAGTATTTCCCAACCACCCCAAAACATGGTAAACAATTGATAGATTAACTCTTTACATTAGTTACCTGTTTTAAAACATGCTGTTGTTTTGCATGCGTCAAACATCTCAGATATTTCAATTTTAGTAAGTGGGCTGCCATCACTAGTTTCTGCAAGCCTACATCAAAAAAGATGTTGCAGACTACATGTAAATAAACATTGTTTTCAAACACACGATTAACCTAGAATATATGACCTTGACATTATTTTCCCGCGAAATTTAACTTCCTGTAAAACGTAAACAAATAATACATGGATCCATCAGAAGTAGAGTTTCTGGCAGAGAAAGAATTTGTGACAGTCGTTCCAAATTTTGCCTTGGACAAGATATATCTGATTGGAGTAAGAAATATGTGCTACAAGTTTATTATTTATCATTTTTACCATCATGAAGTGAATGAAAAGAAAAAAATGTGAACTTAACGAACAGTGATCGATCTAAAAAAAAAAAAAATCTACAAAGAATACAAATCTGTAAAAAGGCTATAAATCTCCCGAAAATTCCAAAGATGGGATCAGGTGAAATAAAGATTCATTATGATGAGAACTATTAGTATCGTTACACTTTACATAATATTTTACTGTTTAACATGAAGACTCTGACAGGAACCTTATATCAGTCTGGTACTGTTCAATCACTAGATTTAGCTACTTGAAGTATGTCTGCTTATATTTGTACTAGGGAGTTTTAAAAAAGCTATCCGAGAAGAAGATAGTTAAACATTGCTGCTTTTGAACTTGCAAAAGATGTATTTCCATTGTTTGAGTAACTGTATACCACCTTGTGTGCGATGAGACATGGATAAGTATAATTATTTCACATTGTGCTGAATTATTACCAATCAATTATCATGTTAGCCAGAATTGGTCTTCTTTGTTATTTCATTCAACATTAGTAATGTTACTGTATGTGTACTTAAAATAGTGGGCTTCATATTTTAGCGGCTTTGGTACAGACAACGATGCGCTAATTTATGAATACCGTTAATAAATCATTTATGGCACGTTTGTGTGTAGCGCTAATTCATGAATATGCCAACAACTCAAGACCCAGTGATTGCGCTAAATTTTGAATACGCCAATTTATGTATAAAGCCCCAAAACTTATAGAACTTTGATTGCAATTGTGCTAAAAGAGACACATCTTCAAGAGTATTTTTTCATGAATTGTTTCCAGATCAGTTCAAAGTTAAAAATTATCACTGCATCAAAGTTCAATTTTCTGCACATCCTGGAAATAAATGCTTTATATTTAAGAAAAAATAAAGCTACTTCAGATAGGTATATAAAGCTATGTAGGTAATTCAAGCTACATAGCTAAATCTAGAGATTGTACCAGATCTCTAGATGTTCTCTGGACAATGCAATGACTTAAAAATTTTTAGTCATTATTCTAAGGCTGTTCAAAGTTAATTCTACGTTTAACATCACCTCTAAAGTTCAAAACCTACGAGGGAGGGAGGAAAAAAATAAACAAACAAAAATTTTAAACATTTGTGAATTTATTCAAATTAACCTATTCAGTATGTTAAAAAAAACACTATTGAGTAATAAGAGTATTGGATATGACATCTAAGTCTAATTTCCTTAGTATGTATATTGGTTTGAATCCTTTTGTGAGCAAACAATGTAGACTGAATGTACAGGGGAGTGGCTTTTAACTGGCCTCATTTGTCCTTTGGATTTATATTGCCACACGTCCATGATATCCTGTAGGAAAATGCGTCTTCTTGTGAGAATAGTTGATTGATATCTACAATTAAAATTATGTTGACAGTATGTAATACATTCTAAAATTGAAAATATCTCGAAAATAAATTCTGTATTTTTACTCATAGTACTAGATCTAGCATTTAGTTTTGAAAGTGTAAATACTATATTTGGACCATAGGTGTAAGATTATTTTACCTTGAATTCCACACACATGAAAGGATTCTTCACTTCTTGGAATACCCCAATCACTTTCCTTACTCTCCTTTGCTTGAAAGGCCCTATCTTCTCTAAGATTTCCCCTGCTCAAATGGCAATGACTAAATAAATATTATCTTTCCCTAAAATTGTTGCCATTTGTAGGTACATGAATGCTACATCTATGAAGAAATCACTAATATTAATGTTCCTTTAAATTTTTACGAAATGTTTTAAAATGAAACTATTAAATAAAATTTAAATGATGCATCTCACTGTATATTATAACATCTTTGTTTTTGACACACTTTGCACTCAGTAAAAAGTTTTGCAATTCTCTCCAAATACTGTACAATGAATAGTTCAGCCAACATAATTACGACCTGAGAATCTGTGATTCGAAGACTGATAAAAACTCAACAGACTAGACTTTGTCATTAACTTCAATGATAAAATCATCTATTTTTTACTTACATTTATGATCCCATACTGTTTAATTCACTAGTTTTCTTTTAAAAAGACACCAACTGCGGTATCAAAGCACGTTTTCTGTCACTACGGGATGCAGAATTAAGTCGCTAAATGTAGAACCAAACCAGAACGGATATATGAAATTCCGAATTGTTTGTTTTTTTCAAAGATGGATTTCTCCTAAACCTACGCGCGTGGGTGACGTTAAACGTAGAATTTTAAACAGCCTAACCATAAAAATGTTTTTGTTCCAGTTATCTACCTGTATAGTCACTGTATATTACATTGTTTGTAAGGAGACAATGGCATTATTACACCTTGTCTACCTGTACAGTAACTGTATATTGCATTGTTTGTAGGGAGACAATGGCCCTGTTACACCTGGTCTACCTGTACAGTCACTGTATATTATAGTACTTGTAGGACATCGTCTCAAGCCACGGTCCGGAGTCTGCATATAGCTCTCTCCTACCGGTGGCTGCTTGATCACCAAAAGTGTCGTAATCTTGAATATTTACGCCTCTATGTTGTGATGTCATGTTCAGCCAATGACAATATTTGTTTCCAATCGCAATTGAAATCAACAACTGACATCAACAATTTTCAAGAAATGTCTCGTATACTGCAATTGGGTATTGAAAGGTCGCGTAAAAGTTCATTATCCGACTATGCTTTACTCGCATTGATCAATATTTTAATGAGCTGCGAAATATTCTCTTCTCATTCAACCACGGCCAGAATGGGAGAGGATCGTACATTCTGGCCGGGGTTTGCGACGATGCTTGTAGGGAGACATTGGCCCTCTTACACCTGATCTTGTTGTACAGTCACTGTATTTTACATTGCTTGTAGGGAGACATTAATGGCACTATTACACCAGGTCAACCTATACAGTCACTGTATACTAAATTGTTTGTAGGGAGACATTAGCCCTCTTACAGCTGGTCTACCTATACAGTCACTATATACTTCATTACCCTGCCTCTAATAAGAATCCTGAAATTTCATTGGTCAAGAAGAAAACTGTATTTTTAAGCCATATTATGCTGCCTACCGACATCATATTGTTAATATGCCCCTTCCATGTGACCTACCCACCACATATCAAATCAATATGCCCCCTCCACGTGGCATACTGTCCAGATCATATTCAATATGTTGTTTTCATTTGAACACACAAGGAGACTAATAATTGATGTCACAAAAACATCAAAGTGTCACAATGTAAACAATTATTACGGAACACGGTTTGCATAACTCAGAGAAAATAAACTTTATTAAAAAAAATCTTTGACAGGATAAATTCAATATGTAGACATGTACAGGGGAAATATACTGGGTCCTTGAAAAAATGCTTACGCCTTGCCCAATGTGCATTTTTTGAAGGATCCCACATATTTCTGTATTATCCCTCTAAGTGTCTACATAATTAATATTGTTTGCAGGGAGACATTGGCCCTCTTACACCTGGTCTACCTGTACAGGTCCCACTATGGATGGCAGTGAATCTCAAACAAGGACAGAAATGTAGGATTGTGCCACCAGAATGGATGGACATTGGTCAGTTTATTTTTTCAAATATTTTCTTATCTTAACACAGCAAACATTGAACATCTGTATTCCAGTTGTATTTTTGTACACCTGCAGTAGGATATGCTTTCAAAGCTTTCAAGGACTTCACTAAATTTTGTTACAGGAGGTGTAATTTTTTTTCACTCTTATTCAGATTTTGTCATTTTCATAGAAGAAAGAATTCTAAAAATAAATCAACATCCAGAGTGAAAATAATACATGAATACTGTATGTTCAAAACTATGAAAGCAAACTATAAAGAATACATACTTGTGAACAGAGTTTAATGAAAGGATAAAGTTCATAATAAAGCCATTATTGCTGCTCTACAGTTATCTCGACTTCATGTCACTTGTTTTAGTTATATTCCCATCTAATGCAAATATCCAACCTTTTTTTTTAATAAAATATGTTTCAATAAAATAGTTATTCATTCAATGTGCATGTTTGTATACATTTTTCATTACATGTATTAGTGATTTTCAGTGATGGTAAGCACGTTGTTTATGATGGATTTGGTAAAGTGTCCCTGTTCCTTGCAGATCGCTTACAGGACAAGAAGCAAGAGGAGACAGACTCCAAATTTTTTACAAAGATGCCAAGTGATCATTATATGGAAGTCACCCAGCTCCTATTAAAATGGTATGTAGAAGTCTCCAGGGTTAATAGCTTAATATAGATGTATACAGGCTGGTCTGGCATTTGAAAACCAGCCCCATTCTTAACCTCTCCTTGATGAAATACCCATCTTATTTATATATGTGTGTCAGTGCATTAAATTGATGATCCATTTTTCATATTTGTGCACGGAATTGATGACCCATTCTCATATTTCTATATGGAGTTGTTAACTTACTCAGTAATCAAAACGGCGGAGCTTCTTTAATCTGGACATTTTGGTTCCTGGTCAAAACATCAGATCCATATACATGTACATGTAAATGATTGCCTGGATAACCGAATCTCTTTTGAACTCAATTATCCAGTTTTGTTAAAAAAAAATGTTTCATTGTAAATATTGATTGTCTACATCCAGAACATGAATTTCTGGATTTTTAAGACAAAATCAGTTCCGTGAATTGTCCAGATTATTGGTATCTGGATAAATCAAGCTCCTATGCACTTCCAATTCACTGAATGGCAACTGATTTTAGTCACATCGGGTAATTAACTGTATTTAATCTCTAGTCTGTCAAAAGTCATCACTTTTCGCATTTTATACATGTATAAATACTTGGGCTTTCAAATTAGCTTTGATCAATAGATCTGATTGAATTTATAAAGGCTATTATATTCCGAGATTACAATGGTTCATGTAAATGTGAATAGATGATAAGTCTACAATCTAACTGATTTTATTCTACAGTAAAACAATATAAGTCATCAGTATTTCCATATTTTGCTATTTTTTTTCAATTTAAATTTCCATTTGAAAAATATAGGACCCTGTACCCCCCTCCCCCCCCCCCAAAAAAAAAGGTCATGGTAGGCCTTGAATATACTGACTTTCTGGAGGTTTCATTTTCAGTGCAACAGATGATATCCCCCATGCTGATGAGATCCGTACACTAGTGAAGGATATCTGGGATTTACGGATCGCCAAACTCCGGAGCAGTATTGACACTTTTGTAAAGAGTGATGCTACACATGCCAAGGTACTGGTCAGAAATCTGCTACACTAATACATGTTTTCCCCAGTAAATCCTCCTTTACCTTTAACCTGTCATTGACTCATTTTCATGTTTAAAAAAATAAAGACCTCTTTGATGTAAGCAGATAACAAAATTTGGAATATTTTCTGAATGTTCAATTTTTGTGCATATTGTATTATATAACCCATGCTGCCATGGTTACTAAAAATAATTTTTTTTTAAAATTTTTTAAAAGTGCTTCTCCTCCTACAAGTTTCATCTAATTTCAGTAAACTTTGTACATCTGAGGTTTACTAAAAAAATCGGGATGCATAATTCTGTAACTATAACCCCACCCCCAAAATGTGTTTTAAGGTCAGGTTCAATTTTTCAACTATTATCAGAACAAACCAGTGGAGCTAGAGTCTCATCCAGGCCTCTAAGTCGCCTCTAAAATTTAGGCGCCAGCTGGCGCCTTATCAAAAAATTTTAGTCGTCATTGCAAATTTTCAGTCGCCAGGCAATTTTTTTAAGGCGCCAATTTTAAAAGTTAATAGAATATAGGGACCCATGACGTGCCTAAAAAACATGACATGTCCATTGCTAAAAATAATTTCCTCTTCTTTTAAATTTCTTTTCGTTTTTTTTTTTTCAGAAAAATTGTTAGAATTGTGAAAATTTCCGGAATTCTACGATCGCCAAGTCAGTTTAAAATGGTCGCCAATTTGGCGACTTATGGAAAAATTTTAGGCGCCAATCAAAAATTTTAGGTGCCATGGCGACTAAATTAGTCGCCAATTAGAGCCCTGTCATCATAGATCTTCTGTTCTTTTAACAGGCCCTGTTATGGTATAGGCTTTCCTGTCAATCTGTCTGATTGTCTATTAGCTTTATTGAATCCCGATCCTATCTGTCAGACTGTGTGACCTTTGGCTATTAAACCTTGTCAGTTGATGCACAGTTTGGGGGGGAAAGGTGTGTTCCAACCAAAAAGAATTCAATCATGGCGTTATTTTGGAATTTTATGGCTACCTGGACCTGGTATACATGGTCAAATTGTATCTGAATCATATTTTGCACAATGGGATGCCTAAGATCATCATATTTTGTCAAGTAATGTATCTTATGGGGAGGCCTGAAACAAGCCAATAGAAGGTCACTGGGGCCTCATTTTGGAATTTTATTACATTGTACTATACATAGTCAAATCTTGTTTAGATCTTGTTTTGCACACTGTGATGCCTACCTCCATCAAAGTTGGTCAATTGACAATTGATTGTGGGGGAAGGTGTGTTGCAACCAAAAAAGGTTTCACCTTGGCCTCATTCTGAATTCTTTGATTATACATCGTTAAATTTTGTTTGGACAATATTTTGCCCTGACTTGAAATCAACATGATCAATTATTGTTTTAAATCTAGTGTAGATTGTATTGCTGGTATACATGCTTGTTATTTCTATGTTGTACATTTCAGCTGAACTTTTTGACTTTGATGGAACTGAACACTGTGCGACCATTTCTCACGAAAGCCCTTGACCAGATGCATGTTTTAAGATCCAATACAAATGGAAGAATTCAGGCAACTCAGGAATAATAAATTATTTATTTTTAAACATTTTTTGTTTTGTTGACTTTATATTTCAAAGCATTTCCTTTTCATTCTCCAAATTAGCCCCATTTCTATGTTTAAAAATTAGTTTATATTATCATCATCTAATCCTTTGTAAAGTTTCTAGCTCATCTCAACAAAGTTGATGTGAGCTTATGTTATAAATCCCAAGTAAAAGTTAGTGGAGCAGGTCCTTTGTTAGGTAATTATAAGCTATACCTGAAACAGACAATGTTTTGGAACATTACAGTTCCCCATTAACTAGAAGTCCTATCTGGACTAAATTTGCATGGATGTTGCATATGGAGCAGACTACTGATGTAGATTTGTTATAGATGATGTATTGGTATTTCTAGTTTTGTATGAGGCAAGATTTGATTTTCTTTCATTTACTGTTTTTCATTGTAAAACTAGAGATATGAAAGCAACATTGATCAAAGTTTCTACTTTTTTACTGGAAAGGATTAATAAGTAAATTAGTATCATCATTTACTGTAATATCAACACAAAGGTACCTTAATGAATTATTCTCATGTTACTTTGGAGGAGTATCCTGTGCTTCTGAAATTAAGTCATTGACTTGGAGGAAAATCTAAAGAGAAGAATTCATTCTAATTTGTTCAAGAACACAGAATTTTTCAGGGAAAAGTTCTTAAAAAGGTGTTATTTAAACAATTTTGTTATAGAAGTGCTGGTGACAGAGTATATGACTTAATCAAAGATTGGAGGCATTACAAAGTGAGGACAATCCCCCACTCTGAGACAAGATATTTTTCAATTTTGAAAGTTTATGGAAAAGTCATTTTTTCAAAAATTGTGTTGTCAGTATCATCATTTTTTTTATCGAATTACTCATGGATAATTTATTTTTCAGTTACATTTTTAAGATATATGAAAAGATAAAAAAAAATATAGCTCCACATGATTCACTCTCTCCATAGCTGGCAGTAACTACTACACTATGCAGTCTTCTTGTCATTGGAGTGTGTCTGTGTGGTTTAAATAATCAAGTTTGTTGAAACATATTATTTTTTCCAGAAATGTTTGATTGTCATATAAAATGGGTTCAGACTCCATTTTTTTGAAACATAAAATAGATTTTCCATCCATTTTTCGATCATTTAAACATTTATGTGGAATGGAGACCCATTAATATTCAAAAGACTTTTTTTTTGCACCAATAGCCTTTTTTCACTAAATATGGTCATGAACATAAATTTTAAAAATAAGAATATTATATAAATAAATAAAATAAATGACTGAAATATATTGAAGATGACATTAATGGTAACATAATTTTTTAAAAATATAAATTTTCTATGAACTTTAAAAGTTGAGAAATGTATTGTGTCAGAGGTTGGGGATTGTCCTCACCATGTACGCCCTCATTCTTTGCTGTATGCATGTACTCAATTCTAGAAGGAAACTTTGTCGAACTTTGCCTCCATTGTTGACAAATGATGATACAGATACATGTAACATTTGGCATTCTGTATCCTGCTTGTGCTCAAAAGCCAATTAAAAGACAATGTATGAAAGTTACCTCCCTTCTTCCTGTACTTGAAATGTTGGGGAATTCAATGATACCCATTATACACTTTCAAGTGCTGTTACTATATAGAGGATATTCAATGTTTTGTAGATGAATATGGAATTTATTTCACGAGTGGGACAGGATTTTTTGATATTTTCACGAGTGCGAAGCACGAGTGAAAATATCAAAAAATCCTGTCTCACGAGTGAAATAAATTCCATATTCATCTACAAAACATTGAATTTTCTGTTTATTACATTTTCTTTGATTTTCCCTTTGCCTCTGTCTTTTCTTAACACAGTGTCATAGGCTTGACGTCATAGTTGAGCAGTTAGACGTCATAGTTTAGCAGTTGTGTGATTGAAAACATTACATAGCATGGATTTTAGCAACATATTTATGAAGAAATTTGCAGTTTTAAATAGCTCTATCAAGATGCTTAGGTACTATCTCTATCTTATGACAGGCCAGAAATTATTTTTTACTTACTTTTGATATCCTTTCACACTGTGAGAGAATATTATTTTGGTATCCTTTCACACTGTGAGAGAATATCACTTTTATTCAATGAATAAATCACAATATTTCACTGTTGAAAATGTAATAAATAATGTTTGTTCATGTATTTGTTCATGTATTTAAAAAGTAAGTTTAGCTATACTTTTTTTTCAGAGGTCATGATTATCAACACTTTACTCTAGTTCCTTAACCAAATGACTTAGTACATGTATTATCATTCCAATAACAGCGTGTCACTTTGTTTGATCAAGCCTGCCAAAGTTTCAAATGTTGATCACTACATTTCTCTTGATTGGAGGTTTGATTTCAATTTTAAAAATACTACTTTGCATATGAACAGAGAAGCCAGCAGTGGACTGACCACGTCTTGCTGCTTATTACAAATGCTGTACTTGTAAACAATCATTCAATGCGATTGATCAGTATTATCAGTATTATCAGTGTATTGCTGGGTTCTCTGTTTCATATGCAAAGTAGTATTCTTTTCATTGAAATCTAACATCCAACTGATTTGAAATATGGTGATCAACATTTGAAGCTGTAGCACGCTCGATCAAACAAAGTGACTCGCTGTTATTGGAATGATAGTATATTTCAGTTACTGAGTTGGTCAGTTAAGGTTGAAGTCAAGATTGTTTGACAAGTCTTTCACTAAATATATATGCTACGGTTTTATTGAGTACATCAAATGGATTGGAAACAAGTTCTTTACAACTTACAAAGTTCCTCTCCTTAAAGTTGATTCCACTAAATATGAATATTATATGATTAAATATCATGGGTACTGGTACTAATATTTCTGGGTCAAAAAACCAGGGTAAGTGAGTCAAAATATCTGTGAGGGTAAAGCAGGCAGTTTCAATCGATCACTTGTGGCCAGATATCTCGGTAGAGCACCTGTCTAGAACTCTGTCCTGGCTTTCCAATCTTGGTCTGGTCTGTCGCATTTCCCAACTCTGTTACGTATATATTATCCTGCTGTTGTAATTCAAGTTCTGCTTAATAGTGATAGATGGTTTCTGGATGACATTTTATGGGCTTGCATGATTACTGGTCACAAGAAAAAGGCTAGTGTTATAAGCACTCTACAGGACCCTACATCAATTTGTCAATTTTCTAGTTTATTCATCTTTGTCGGTAAGATCCTAGATTTTTCTATGAAAGGAAGAGATCTGTACTAACATTTATGCAAAATGCTGCTAATAAACGGCCATGAACAAGAATCGGAGCCTTTTAGCCACATGGCATTAATCTAAAAGACTGTCACTGGTTTTTGAATTCAAAAGTAAGTTTTGCAAATTTCTTTGATTTTTATTTTGTTCACTCTTAATACATTGTTGATATACTGTGGCATGAGCATGAACAAGTGAGAGTTAAACAAATTGGTTGTTACACCAAATGTAAAGCCATAAATGAGATAAAAACACAGAAAAAAAATCTACTAGAGAGGTGAATCTGCTGCACTGTTTGTAGTCTGTTCAAAAACCCTGAGCTGATCGAGGCACAGAAACTCCTATTTTTACAATTTCTTTATGCATTGTCTATACAGCTTGGGTTTATTCAAATTTGCTTTCCATACATATATCTGAATATTAACAATCTTTAACATCTGCTGAACAAAATCAATATGACCTTTGGTACCAATAAACGATTTCCCCCCCAAAACTGATTGTCTTTTGAAATGCAGATTTACATAGGTACATATATCTTGTACAGTAAAACTGATTTAGTCACAGATGTTTCTTGGGGTCCCCTCTTAATATTCTTAACAATTCCTTGTAAAACGTTACGGTTATAACAAACTTTGATGCAAGGAATTTATGGATATAGAGCATTGATTTTTGCCCCATAGAGGTTGACAATAATAAAATTTACATCTTTTATAAATTTTTATAAGGTTCCAGAATTTAAAAATATTAAAGTGACATTATTTTTTTGTCTGTATTTATAATTAAATTTTTATAAAAGAAAACTAGTTCTTCAAGTTAGGACTTACATTTGTTACTTCAATGAGCATATTGGGTAGTCATAAGAAGGGAAATGTGTATATTGTGAATTCGCTTCATATACATTTATTAATTTGTTATATGGATATAAAGAATTACAGATATAGCAACAATGTTAATCTGAAGGTCCCCAGGACTTCACTATAACCCAAGTTTTACTAATTGAAATAGAATGCCCTAAATTCCAATACGTTTTTTAAACTTGCTGTGAATATTTTTTTTTTTTAAATACAGCATGACATTTAATCAAAACCTCAATAACAACAATGGTTATAGCAGTACTTATTACATTTGTACTTGTGTAAAAATAATCAGCAGTTAAAGGCATCTACCCTTTGAGAATTATGAATATAATTCTAACAGTGCAACAAAAGATGCACCATTCCTCTTCACAAACAGCTATGATAATGAAACATGACTCTTCTGTGACAGAAGGAAGAAAAGCTACAAAAACAGATCTCTGCGAGACATTTGGAAATTTTGGTTTACTGGTATAACATACTAAATAAAAGACACAGTGACCAAGATTGGTCATGTAAACAAAGTGATGTAAAATCTTTGTATACAATGCTACATAATCACATAAACTGATTAATATATAATATATATAAAAAAAACAAAATAAATAATAAAAAGTCCGCTGCTGCACAGAATAATCTGGGTTTTGTCTTAACTTCGCACCATTAACAATGGAGACATTAACATTTTAAAGTCAGCACTTTAAGTCTTGGTATAAAGCAGGCCAGTAATATTTGGAGTAACACAGTTCGCTTTCTATACACATTGGCAATATTCCATATTTTGGCTGTCTTCTTAGCATCATTGTTAACTCATCATCCACAGCAATACAAGCTTCAACACAATACACCCTCAAGAGATCTGTTACTATGAAACACCCTCCCGCAGTTGTTTAATTCAATGAAGATCTTTTAAGCACCTTTTCAGTCTGTCTATTGCACTTTGTGTCTCCAACTTTTTATCATTCATTTCAGTCTTTGAACTTAGCATCTCCTGAAAGTGAATACAGACTGAATATCTAAAAGAATAACATTTTCAAAATTTACCATTCTGTCAGCTAGTTGATTGTTTAAAGTTTAATATGTATTTTACCTCAGGTACAATTACAATTATCTTTTTTTTTTCTTCAACAAGAAAAACTTATATGTTCCATTCCCTTTTTTTTTTTTTTTTTAATACATCTACAGTCGAACTTCGGTATCTCGAACACTGATATCTCGAATACCATTATATGTCAAAGTGATTTGGAAGTCCAAACCACTTATTCTTTTAATGTTTCACCCCTGATATCTTGAATCCTCGGATATCTCTAAGTTTTTTTTTTTGGTCCCATTGAATTTGAGATAACGAGGTTTGACTGTATATAGAATTTACATACTGATTCTTTCTGTTTGAGTGCCTTGGCAGTGGTTGTTAGATGAATGTTCTGTGACTTAAGAGCTTTGTATTTTTCCTTTAGTATTTTCCTCTCTGTTATTTGTTCTGTAAAAAAAAAAAATATTATTCCGAAAGTGCTTACAAAAAAAACTGATATGGTGCAAGACTAATGCCGAGATCTTCCCTGCTGTGTGATACAAAATACACATCCTATGTATTATCTCAGTGTAAAGGACTGTCAGACATATATTTACAGAGTTCCTAGCTTATAAAAACAATCTAAGATTCTCTTTCCATTTTGCTAAAACCTTGCAAGATTTACCGAAACTGACCTGAGAGATGATTTTGGTAAGACTGCATGACTGCAGCAAGTCCTGGCCATGTGGGAACCAGTTGTTCTGTGTCTGTGACATCACTTCCTCTGGCTGAAGATTGACTTTCCACATTTCCAATTTTCATGTCTTAAAAAAGCAAAAATTACTTTTAAAAATTTTCTTTAATGAATCAAAATTTCTTGAATTTTCTTATCAATAAAAAATGTTCATTCATTTTAAAATAAGTTTTTATATCAAATGCTTTATGAGAATGTGCAGAACCATTACCCAGAGCTTTTCGCTGAGTTGACAGAAGGACAGACTGATGAAATTCCTCTGCAAATTCTCGACAGGCATCTCTGTTAGGGATCAGGGACATCAGACCTGACATCTTACCCTCAGATTTCCTGCCCTTCCCCTGCTTTCTGAATGCCCCATCAGACAGGTGTATTTTCCTCCTTTTGGATCCTAAAAACGGTACAAATAATGAAGGTCCACATTTAATGTCATGTAACTTCTAAATACAGTTGATACAATGCCTTGAAGGTGTCAAAGTCATTTGGAAGTTCCAACCACTATTACCCTTGATATCTCGAACTCTTAAATATCTCTTTGTTTTTCCACAGTCCCACTGAGTTCAAGATTCAAGGTTTGACTGTGGGTGCACTTATGACATATTTTAGTGGCTTAACACTTAGTGCGTTAATCCATGATCACAATCAAAATATCAATTTACATATATCATAAACAGAGGATATTCAATGTTTTGTAGTTGGACATGGAATTTATTTCACAAGTGGGACAGGATTTTAAAATTTGTTTTATAAGTGCAAAGCACAAGTGAAACTGACAAAAAATCCTGTCTCACGAGAGAAATAAATTCCATAACCAATTAAAAACACTGAATTTTTCTGTTTATTACATTTTCTTTCGTTTTTCTTTTGCCTGCCTTTTCATAAGGCAGAGTTGTAGGCTGTAATGTCATAGTTGAGTGGTTAAGAGATGTCATAGCTAAGTGATTGTGAGATTAAAATTGTAAAAACAATTTTTTAACAACCCACTATCTTATAACAGGGAGTATTTTTTTTAATAACACTTTTATGAAGAAAAGGAAAATCTCTCAGTTTTGCTGCACTTATAATAATTTTTCACTATGAAAAACATCATAAACTCTACTTCGTAATTATTTTCATTAAAATCTTTCCTCTGCTATTTCAAAAAGAAGAAAACACAAACCTGTCTGGGAATCATTTGACAGTCGCCGCCTTCTGTCCTCTTCACAAACATGTTTTATTTGTTCCAATTCTAACAGTGAAAAATAAATAAACATTGTTAAAATAATGTACATCAATTTCAGATTGAACATGAATGTTCTGTTATGACTGAATGAACTTTACGAATTAATTCCACAAGACCCATGGACCTGTTGTTCATGAAAGGATATTTTAAAGAATATTTCTTGTACTACAATAATAAATCCTTTGGGTTCATCCTTATCACCGATTTCTAACAAAGTTGCTTTGACACTGCACAAGGATGCTTGCATGATTTAAGACCTCATGTCAAACATTTTGCTAATTTGCTAGAAAAATTTGGGGCAGGAGACTCACTTCGAGCGATCAATAACTTCGAGAGATCGAAGTTTGAACCATCAAGAGTTACCTGTACTATTGTTTGAGAAGAAATTTAAATAACTCATTATGTTCACAATTCCTCATTTATACCCACAGATAAAGATTTGTCCTTCCTTGAACTGAATTCCCCTTACCCAAGGATGCTATTGTTAGTTTCTGTGATTCTTGAGAAGATGAAGTGAAATGTTTGAAAAGAAGTATACATGGATCCACGCATGTCCAACCAAACTTTGATTAGATTATTCTCACTCAAGCCTTTGACTCAAGTGAGCTGAAAAAATCAAAACAATAAAAAGAAAAGACATGTCTCTAAAATAACCTTTTTTCTTATTTTTATCCACAACAGACAGGTGGAAGCTGTTAAGGAAGGAACATTTCTCTGGAAAATCCTGTGCCTGGCACATCTGATCGGAGACAGACTGAGGCGGAGTTGGCAGATTGCTGACCTCCCCCTGACTGGATTCAGAGATCTCCAATTCCAGTGGTGACACACTACGCTCATGGTGCAGACGTCTGCGTGTCCTCAATCTCTCAAAATCAAGTTCTAAAATGTATTGTCAAAAGAGAAATTAAAATATATATATGTTCTCAAATTGGAATTTAGGCACATTTTTTAGGAAGGCAAACAGATGAAATATAAGTACAATTAATCCACCTTTTCTGATTCGTCTGGATGTCAATCCCAGAACTTCAAGGAACTTCATTTTCTCTGGGTTTTCATCCACAGGCAGTGAAGGACCACTAGTTATTAAGAGTAATCTCCCTTTCTCTAACTCTTCAGTATCCTCCTCCTCATCACTGTCTGTATAGTATGGATCTAGGGCTCTCTTCCTCTTGAGCCTCTGTTCCTCCAGATCAAGTCGACTTCTGAGAGTCTTTTGATGAGATTCATGACTGTGATGATGATGATGATGTGATGAATGCAACTGATTTGATGATTTTTTGTGCTTTTGACTATGATCCCCCTGATGATGTAGGGATGACAACAGAGAATGAGTGTGCACCGAGTGACCCCCACTTCTACTGTCCTCTACTGAAGATTTCCCATGGCGCGACTTGTCCTGTTTGAGTTTATGATTGGTTGAGCTAGACAAATCGTTGTGTGTTTTGTGATGTGAATGGGGCACGTCTTCTCTGTGCTTGTGTTTATGTAGGTCACTTTTACTTCTTTGGTCAGTAAGGCCTTTCAAACTGGATGAGAATTTTTCAACATCCGATGTTCCTGAATGGTAGCCATTGGTTAATGTTTTGGTGTCAAATGGTCTGAAGAAGTTGCTGTCTGATTTTGAGGGTCTGCTTTCGGTGGACGAATGAGAGGCACTGCGATCCAAGGAATGAAGCTGAGTATATCGGATGTCTTGCCCATCACCAGACATCTGTATAAAAAAAAAGTGAAAGTGAACTTCTTTAAAAATTGCAATTGCTATGCAATCAATACATAAATTTCTGACTTCTCATTGCCCAGAAACCCTGACACTAAGGTCACGGGCATTAACATTGTTAAGTTAAAATTCATTCCAATCAACAATTGCAAAATTGTAATTTTGTAACAGATACTGAATTTTATCAGTATAAGACTGACCTTTGGACCAGTGCTGAAGAGCTGTGAGTATTTCTCATCTCTTTTGTAACTCTGTTCCAGATTGCTTGGCAAAGGAACACTACCCCTTTCCCCATGAACATCTCTCCCCAAGCGGTCAGGCTCTTGCCCTTTGTCAGAGCGACTGTCTTTCCTGTGAGGTATTTCTTTGGGAGTCCCCTGTGTGATAGAACCAAAACGAGACAGTCCCAGTTCTTCAGCTCTAGGTAGTCTATGATGATCTCCACCTCCAAGAGATCCACTCCTCTCTTTCCGAGATCCATCAGAACTATGGCTGTAGTAATGACCTTTATCTTTGTCAAATTCCTTCTCCTTTTCCCTGCTTTTTTCCTTTTCTCGTAATAAAATTTCTTTGTCTTTCTCTCGCTCCCTCTCTAATTCTTTTTCTCTTTCTTTCTCCCTCTCATGTTCTCGGTATCTTTCTTCCTCCAGTCTTTGTCTACAAGAACACAAATTTTTAACTGTAAGTACATGAAATATTTAAAAACAATATATTCATATCTCATACTTTGAAATCAAATTAAATCATGCCACTGTAAATTATAGCAAATTTTAATTAAATTTGAGGAAGTAAACATTCAGCATTATCAGATGAAGAAGATTAACTTGAGTCAGACCTTTCAGACAAGGAGGGGGATATGTGATCAGGTAACCGGGATGAAGAGGAAACAAAGGGAAACTGCTGGTGTAATAATTCTGGGGGGTACCTCCCAGAAGCCAGTAGTGGGTGGACACCTGGAGGGGGCAACATCCCAGGGTGACCAAATGGCAGGTAGGGGGGCTGCATCATCCGGTATCGCTCCAACAACAGTGGGTCATCAAACCTACAATGTACATGTTTTAGTCTAAAATTATTTTTCTCTGCAGCCCCCTAATGAGGACAAATATTTAACAAAATCAATGTTGTCTTTTGAAAAAAATTAAATCCACCCATTTTTTTACCATCACAAGATACAAAATGAATTAAGTAAACCTGCAATAATCACCTTGGATTGCACAGTAATAGATGTAAGAATTTTAGGAAAATGTAAACACATTTTTCTATCTGACATAAAAGTGAAATGAAGAATTTATATCTTCTCCACTTTTTGTAATATGAAATGTTGTCATTTTCTGAATACTTACCTGAAGGCAGGGTGAGGGAAGGGGTGGGGAGGAAGGAAGGCGGCCGCAGGATAAGCAGCAGAGTAGGCAGCAGCAGTGGCAGGATCTAGGCCAAAAGGAGAGGGCGGTAACTGGTGTCGAAGGTCATCACCAGGTCTGTAAGGCTGAAAACCCCGTCCTACACTGTCCTCTCTCAAACCAGCTGGAGATGAACTAGGGCCAGAGAGAGGTGTCATACGACTGAAAGAAAAGAGATATTCTTGTCAAATTACCAGGTCATAAGGTTAATTTAATCATAAAACTGTGTGCCAATGTTGTTCAACATTGCATCACTGAATCTTTACAATCACTATTTACTTATAAATACAGTACAATTCGTTTATTATCATAGTTTATTTGTCAGGCCAAAACTTTATAATAAGCGACTTTTATATTAACCATAGTCGGCTGAAATTCATGTCAGACGTCTGACATGAAATGACGTTTGTATAAATTATTGGATGTATTTATATCATACATGTTATGTTACATGTAATTTCAATTTTTTGTAGTTTTTTTGAAAATCATTACTCAATATTTACTTACTGTTTTAACTTTTTGTAATAAATAAATTCACTTAAATAAAGCTTAATACTCTTCAAACTCTCTAGAACTAAAGATTTTCGACCTGTCTTCTAGATCTCTTGGCATCCATCTTGTTTATTTTCATTTTGATCTACTTTCATTTTTAAATATATGATCAATTCAAACTACCAATATTTCATTTTTTTATTCATTTCTTTTATTCAACTAAAGTAGACATAAAAAAATCACTTCTTAATTAATGGGGCAGTTTTATAAATGTAATTAATTATGAACATTGATCAGGCAACAAGCGTAAGAAAGCTTGGGTTAATCAGGGACCAATATATACTAACGTTAGTACATAGGTCACTGGGTTAATTGACACAAAATTTAGTTTCAACACATATGGTAAAACACATTTATTATCAATGTACAATTCAGGATTTTAACAAAAGAAGAAAATAAGATTGCGAATGGTTTTGTGTTGTTATGTAATCTACTTTGTAAAATAAACTAGAAATATGTCCATAGGACATGAATGCCCCGCCGAGGGTATATTAGTAATGCAACATTTTAACACAAATTGAGAAAAGTGGGGTCAAGGTCAAAGGAAAGGTCAAGGTGAAAAATATTGATGCAGTTGAATAGCTTACATTAGTATGTATCAGCATATGAAGTTTGACACAAATTTAAGAAAAGTGAGGTCGAGGTCAAATGAAAGGTCAAGGTCAGAAAAAAATTGTTTATGCAGTTGAAAGGTTACATCGGTATGTATTAGCATATGAAGTTTGATAAAAATATTATGAATGGTTTTAAAACTAAGCTAAACTCTAATTAAAGAAAAGTTAGGTCAAGGTCAAAGGAAAGGTCAAAGTCAAAAAATATTGATGCAGTTGAATAGCCTTCATCAGTATGTATCAGCATATAAAGTTTGACACTAATTTAAGAAAAGTGAGGTCAAGGTCAAAGGAAAGGTCAAGGTCAAAAAATGTTGATGCAGTTGAATAGCTCTCATCAGTATGTATCAGCATATGAAGTTTGATAACACTATCTTGAATGGTATCTTTAAAACTGAGCTAAAAACTTATTTAAGAAAAGTGAGGTCAAGGTCAAAGGAAAGGTCAAGGTAAAAAATATTGATGCAGTTGAATAGCTCTCATCAGTATGTATCAGCATATGTAGTTTGTTAAAAATATCTTGAATGGTTTCATTAAAACTGAGCTAAACACTAATTTAAGAAAAGTGAGGTCAAGGTCAAAAGAAAGGTCAATGTCAAAAAATGTTGATGCAGTTGAATAACTTACATCAGTATGCATCAACATATGAAGTTTGATTACACTATCTTGAATGGTATCTTTAAAACTGAGCTAAACACTAATTTAAGAAAAGTGAGGTCAAGGTCAAAAGAAAGGTCAAGGTCAAAAAATGTTGATGCAGTTGAATAGCTCTCATCAGTTTGTATCAGCATATGAAGTTTGATAACACTGTCTTGAATGGTATCTTTAAAACTGAGCTAAACACTAATTTAAAAAAAGTGAGGTCAAGGTCAAAAGAAAGGTCAAGGTCAAAAAAGTTGATGCAGTTGAATAACTTACATCAGTATGTATCAACATATGAAGTTTGATTACACTATCTTGAATGATATCTTTAAAACTGAGCTAAACACTAATTTAAGAAAATTGAGGTCAAGGTCAAAAGAAAGGTCAAGGTCAAAAAATGTTGATGCAGTTGAATAGCTCTCATCAGTTTGTATCAGCATATGAAGTTTGATAAAAATATCTTGGATAGTTTCTTTGAAACTGAGCTTTGAACAGAGCTAAACACAAAGTGTGACGGAAGGACAGACAGAAGGACGGAAGGACAGAAGGACGGAAGACGGACATGACAAACACTATACGCCCCGGCCATATTCATGGCGGGGCATAACAAACTTCGTATCAATCACTCAGGTAAGTGCACTGAAGTGTAACTAATCTCCCCAATCAAGCCGTTGTGTATAGACAAGGGACAGTGCATGAACCACAGGTGTAGATAGGTGTTATCTTTTGTTTTGTTGATTGTCCCAAGAGTGAAAAGGTGTGAAAAAAATATTATGGACGATAATTTTCTATTATAGTAAGCGAAGTGTACACTTTTACCTATGATAATAACAGACGAAATTTACAATGAATTATTAAGAAATGGTTTCGTGTTTCAAATATCTATGATAAAAAAAGAAGTGTGATATAAAACCGGTATGATAAAAAACGACTTGTACTGTACATGAAAAACATCAAACCTTAATAACATTGTATTTAATTTCTTTGCCTGGATAAAAGTCAATTTGATGACAAGATCTTTACCTCCTTGAGAGAGGAAGGTCTTTGAGCGAGTTTCGATCATCATCTCGATTTGAGTGAGTTGACTGTGGGCGTTCTCGTTCCTGCTTCAAACTCATAGCTTCATACACTGAGGAGGCAGTACTCTGAACGGAGTGGGCTCGCTCAATGCTCTAAAATGAAAGACAATTTTTTTTTCTAATAAGTAAAAGTCATAACTTGCTGATGTTTTAATCCTTTTCAGAATCTGAATTTTATCACATGTAGATAGAAATATCTATAATACTGATTGCTGGGCCAAACGATTTCAAAAACTATGACTAAAAAGGTAGAAGTCCACCCTCAACTATAAAGTCAGGTCATATCCTTTTCTTTATGGTTGAACTTAAATATTGCATCAGGGGTTTTCTAATCTACTGAACAGGAAAATGCACAAGACAGTCTTAAATAATTCATGTCTCGCACTTCCTATATGTAGCATTTCCTAATCTCCTAAAGCTGTGCTATTTTGAAGTTTCAATACAATGCAACTTTTCAGTTTTTCCTTAATTATATAATTTCTCATGAATTTACAGTACCACAAACTTTTAATGTTTTGTCAGATTTTATGTCATATACCATTTCAGCTTTCATGTTTTCTATAATTTGTCAGCCATTATCTGGTTTCTTTCACTCTCCACATTGATATAGGAGACAAAATACCCTATAATTGAGGATATACATCAGGGATCGAGGACTAGCGGCCCCCTGGAGGCCAGCAGTAAGTGACAACACACAATAATTGGCTTAGCATAGGACTGTTACAGAGCAATTATCTTCAGTCAGCCTCTCCTTATGGATAGGATAATGCCCTGTTTATTTTTCTCTGGCTTTGTCACTAGAGCTTCTTGTAATGACTAATATCTCACTATCATGTGACCAGAGATCTTTTCAGCTTTTCTTTGACATCAAAGTTCAATATGTCACCAAGAGCAACTTTGAAGGGAGATAACTACAGTTGCTTTTCTATTAAATATGAGCTAGACCAATGTACCTGTTTGGTCTCTGTACTTGGGATAGTGGGATGGGCTTGTGTGGGTGCTATGGTGACCACTGGTGGTGATGTCAGAGATGTGGAGTGGCTGTTGTACACCAGAGGAGGGGGTCCTCTTTTGGGGGTGACAGCCCGAGGGCTGGTACTCGAACTGCCAGGTTGGGAGCTATGACTGGGTGCTGGGTCCTCTGAAATAGACATTCAAGGTGTGTTACCTGACACACTTACATATCACATAGCTTGGTAATCCTCTTAAAGAAAAGGCAGGAAAAATCAGTGCATATTTCATGATATACACAAGAAATGCAAATTCTTTCCCATATATTTTATCTTATTTTCTGCAACAAGATCAAGTTGCTCTTGGACATCTTCACTTCAACTTTGATTAGTTCCATCATTAATGTATCACTTTATTACCTGGATCTTTAGCCTGATGAGCTAGTTTTCGGAGAGCAGCAGCAAAGCTGGCAGTCCTTGTGGCATTCATTGCAGCACTAGCACTGACAGAGGTGACACCATTACTAGGGGAGACCTGATTCAGTGGTGGCACAGTGGCTGTATTCCGAGACAGTTTAGATGCGGCGGGACTCATCATCGTGGTCAGTGGTGGTGGCTTAGCTCCTGGCTGCAGCCCTACAAATGTATCAAATCAATTCATTAATAAGTAATCAGTAGAGTTACAGGACCTCAATAATGAGAAAGATATAACAATATGTTTTCAATTGAAGTAACAACAGCCCATGCAGGGGCAGATTTAGGATTTGAAGGGTGGAAGGGGGGCACTGATGATTAGACAGGAGGTCTGGGGGCCAGCTTGAGGTCCCCAATAAGTCCAGGGCAAAGCCCTGGTGGGGGCCAAGGGGATGAAGTCTCAGGAAGCTCCAGGATTCTTGAGATATAGTAGGGCATAAATGATCTTCTTAGGAGACATTTCCAATATTTTTTGTTTGTCAAAAATAATCATAAGAATTATTAAATAAAACCATTAATATTTTAAGGTCTTAGAATTAAGAAGAATTAAGCCCCCAGATGCTCTGCCTTGCAAGAATATTCAAAGATGGACAATGACTTATCTTAAATTTGACAATTTTAGGGTCCCCCCCCCCCTCTCCTCCTTAAGGCTTTGACAAAGTATAATTTTCAAAATACTGTAGTATAAGTGGTAAATTTATGTCTGATCTCCTTTATGAACTATTCCCACACATCAACATAAAGCACTTTAGTGTAATTACCTATCATTTAGGAAATTACTTGGTACATTAAAACTGTATTCTTGTACGACAATTACTGGGTAATAAAAGTCAACATTTGGAGAAAACAGGTTTATTTCAGAGGGTAAGAAACCGTATTCAGCAGAAAACACTGAACAGCTGAGCTTATTTCTGGGATCAAGTTTTACTTTGTCACTTCACACACACAGCAGCATGTATTGTTAAATAGGTCAAAAGAATCAACTTCAATAGCTCCCATATGTCAGGCTATCTCATAAAAATAATAATGTGCATTTTTCTGGCCAAGTAAAAAGGCAGATCTCACAGGCTGTTAGTGTGTCTGCTACTAGTACAAGATGGCAAATGTAACAAAAGTATGAGAGAGGGAAATTGTAGCTGTCAGTTTCATAATGTTTGAGACAAGTGAAGGAATCTGAAACTTCACAGAGCAATGGTTTAAACAGAAAACTGCCAAATTCTTATAATCTGTATTTCTGTTCACACAAACTGGCTAATGGAAGTTATAAACCCATTTATTGAATGATTATAAGTTGAAGAACGTATAACAAACACATTTTTTCTGAAGTGTGTTGATATACACATGCCTTACTAATCAGTAAATAATTTGTTGATTGTATACACAATCTTCCTAGACTACAGGTTATAAATCGTGTTGATTTGGATTACAAGGAATATGCTATTGATAACTTCTGTCGGTCCCAATTATCTTCCCCTGAAGTCATTTGGCAGAAAACAAGCTTGTCCTTTCTCTAGGATCTACTGTAATGTTGATGGGATCTGACAGTTTGGGTAAACTGCATCTGTATCCCTCAGCTGTCTACAGCCATCATAGGCTTCTGTGTAAAACACCAATACCTAATGTCAAAGCCCTTGCAATTCTTTAACAGGTCAAAATCCAACAATGTACATTTTATGATTCAGTATACATTTTCAGAATTTCACTTTGCTTCAAATTATGCTTCTTTAGTATTTTAAGGTTTTTATACATGTATCTCTTTGAGATTCAACAATTCCTAAATTGAAGTTTTCAGGTAAAAATATTAGTCAACAGGTCATAGAACCCATTTTGGGGGATTGACCAAATTTCTTGAACTTTTTATCTTGAAACGCCCCTACAAAATGTGGTCATTAAATTCATCAATAACCACATGGACAGGTGAGCTAAACAGGTGACATAAACAGGTGTGATAGTGTTATAGCCTTTCTGCAGCCTGATCAACAACAGAAGCTGGAATATTCTGTGTTCTGTAAACAAAAAAATACTCAGAGTTTACTCTATTAACCTGTAACTCTTAGTAACAGCTGCAATGTGCTTGTAATCAGACAAGAAGTAACTCTGTCATTTGTTTTACCTGTCGTTTTGTCTGCCTAATCATTGTTCTTCACGACTCCTCCAATAAACTAAAGATGACAGTGTACATGTCAACACATTAGAATGATGAATGGTCTCAGTGTGTCAGTTCATTTTTATTTATTCTCAAAAACCTGATATATTTCTCAGGGCTAAATTCAAGGTTTTAAAATAATGGCATGATTTTATGGTTTGTTTACAAGATTTTACCCACAAACAACCAAGTACAAGTGTTGGCCTTCTGTATAAATTTAATTCTCACCTTGTCAGATTACAATAAAAGACCATATATCTTCTCCTGCTTACATCAAAATTCTAATAACCCTGTCATCTGTATGTATACCTCCCACAAGCCGAGGCTTACCTGCAGAAAAGACTGCTTCAATCCCTCTAATTTACCAGGTAAAATTTTTTTTTACCTCAATCCCTCTATTCGCCTCCTAATGAAAAAGTTTATCGTTTCAATCACTTAAGTAAAATATTTTTACTTTAATTTAAAAAAATCTTTTGTGAGTGTATTCTAATATCCAATGTTAAACAAACAGTTCAACAGAATGGGACACCCTTTACCTGTATTTAGAGGTTTAAAGCTATGTAAATAAAATGACAGAAATCTGTGTTACACTGTCCACTTCAAAATAACAGAGATACACCAATTACCCGGGCTTGTGAAGGGTAGTACTGACCCTCTGTCCATTAACAAACACCGCTGCCTGCCAAACATAATCAAGAGCTTAAAGTCCTGTTCCCTTTCAATTGGGAATTTTAAATCGAAAAAATGGCAAAATTTGGAAATATTGATGACTTACATTAACTATAGATTGAAGAGTTAGATTGTAGACTTATTCTCTATTTACATTTTTATCATTTTAATCTCAAAATTAAGTTTTTTTAAAAAGCACTGAAAAATTCAATTTGCTTGCCATTTGGGAATTTTCCCCTTAATTTCAGGAAAAAAGAGTCAATTTTCAATTGGGACAGGGTCATTTTACTGGACCTGGATGAAATGGATATTAATCCCTGTCATCAATCTACAACCATCACTATTAATAACGATTCTCTTCACAGTCATCATACTGAACTCTGGGTCACTTTTTCAGAAAATGAAAAAAAAATTCTTCTAATTACTTCTATTTGTTTTTTAAATTCACAGTTCATATTAGAAATACCTATAACAGTCTGGTCTTTATGATTTGGGGATATTTCAGTAACAACATCACTGATCTACTACATAATGAACACTACAAGTTAGAATTACAGAAGCAGCATTTCAATGTCATTTTTTCCCCTACTCATCCTCTTGTTGATGACTCTAAACAATAAGTATGTTCACACCAACTGTATTGTCAGATAAAAAAAGGGAAACTATTTCTGAGTCAATTCTAAAAAGATAGGGGAAGTTTCTAGAGTGTTAAACAAGATGGGATTGAAGTGGTAGGATGAGAGCTATAAGAGAACAAAGACACCAAAACAAGGAAGGAAGCTGTGCTCTGAAGTGGCTTGTTGAAGCCCAGAAGTGAGGACTGTGTTAAGAGGCATCTAAATCCTTGCTGCTTCCTCAATTGTCTTAAATAAATCGGGAAATTTTAACTTCAAACCACTGAGATGTCACACAACTGCTTCCTTCTTCTCTCTGTTGACCTGGGTAATATACTGGTACTGTGGAATCATCCAATTTGCTCTTGGGGGACAAATGTTCATGGATTTAGTGGGTCACCCTCACCCACTAATTTACATCTCCATGAACCATTATGATTCATTGAATCTCATGAATAAACAAGTTACCCACGAATCGACAAAATTTTGCTTGCCCACGAACATTGACCCCCACAAATTAATATGATTCCACAATATCAAAAAAATCTATTCTTGTTATTTTGAAAAGTCCAAAATGGTACACAAACCTGTGCGTAACAGCCATGCAAGATTTCTTTAAAACAAAAAATATAATTTTATGGTCAAAATGTAAAGTAATGCATGGGAATGAAACACACTAAATGTCTAAATGTATGGAAGTAACATATACCTCTCTGTGCATAAGGCATTTATATTACAAACTGGTTTTGATTTTGAGCTACACTTGCTTAATGAACACAGTCAGTTTCTTAACATTTATTCGACCTCCTGAGATGACAAACCGAGGACAGAACAAAAGTCTCGGCAAACTGTCAGGGTGATTCACACACAGAATTATACAATGCTAATACCAGCCACAAAACCAAATGCTTTTTACAAGCACTATATTAGCATAATTCTAGTTTTGTCTTATTTCTCATGATGTAATCACATTAACTTTGACAGTGGCAGGTTAGAGTGCATGACCTGGTGACCCTCTTCTTGACAGAGATTTGGGCGCCCACATCTTATTTGCATACTTGCACAAGAAAGTTGACAACTCTTTAAGTAAACCACAATACTAGCTTCTTTTTTTTATTCTGTAAATTCAAGACTTCACAGAATGTTCTGTTGATTAAAAATGTCCTCATTATTGCATTTAACAGCTAAATATTTCGTTTTCGTTTTTCTCATTTTTCGAAATTATTGTTTTTTTTCTCCAAGACATTCTTCATATACTGCCAATCCTGCATCTTTGCAAACTCTGGTCTTTGTCAGTATGTGACATTAAATAACACATTAACATTTATAATTAATGAATGCATGATGAAGGTCACATAATTCTGTTCACTAAATTAATGTACATCTTCAGGGAGATTTAATTTGTTAATTTAATATGCAGCACACAAATTCACTGTTGTAAACTGTATGCTATAATTAGATATTCCACATATTTATTCAATCCTTTTAAAAACAATCAACTAAATATTTCATTCCATCACTGCAATTTAAGAATGCTGATAGGGTACTACTGCTGAAGGTTAATTGATGTAACAAGTCAAATTTGAGGTTGGTGCACAGCAAATATTATCATGCAAATAATAATGAATACATATGTATCATAAGTTACTTATATTTCATTATCACCTTGTGATAACAAAATGTATTTTTGTTAAATGAATTAATAATAATAAAAATAACAAGAGGTCCAGGGG